TTTTTGATAGAAGCGGCAACACTGCATTGCTGAAAATATTTCAAATGAAGAGAGCGTATTCTAAAATATATGATTCTCGATATAGAGATAGTATAAGCTCGTCGTGACATCCCCTGTATTGCTACTATGAAAGCACTTATTTTCAATAATTATAGCCATGACCATGAAAGCGTATTTAATTATAAAACGAACTTTACGCCTCGAAAAGGTTTAAATAATGATAGGTTTTATGGCTAGTGGAGAAAAACCCTATTTTTGGGGTCTTACTATTTTTTAATCACACATTTCCAATACCCTAGCAATACAAGCACCAATAGTGACATATTTCCTAGCATATATATTACTCAACAACCAGTGAGATCAAGAATGCACTTTTACCGTTGGAGTATACTGATATACCCACAATACATAAATAAGGAATCAACATGATGAGTCAGAAAGACCGCCAAAAAAATTTGGGAAGGTATTGACTATTACGTGGAAGACGAAAAAACAAAATAACGGAGTCAACAAACAGAAGCCAGCATAGGCGAGTGGAATAATTTTTTTATTTCCTAAATAGAATCATCCCTCAAATATCTTTCAATTTCATATTTTTGTACAGTGGACTGTGGAGTAATCGAATGCCAATAAATCATCACCAGTCCACTCGCCCATTGGACTAGGTGGTATTTTTCTAAATATTCGGATTTGAAATTCCTATGGTTACATTCATTTGTTCATCAGTAACATCAGTTTACTTTTCGTATTTGAATTATTACCAGTGCGCATTCTCTCCTGGGAACAATTACCATCGCTGAATGGACGGACATTCTTGAGGTGCGCTATTCAATTCGTTATACGGTGTGTCTATCATTGTTTTAGTATTCCGAACAAATGGCGATTTTTTCCAACCAAATACATAACTGTAGAACGTACGTACAGAACGTACCTAACTCTCGACCGTAACACCGTGTAAATGTAACACAAGCAAACCGAGACGAAACACCATAACCATAATAAACATTGTAATTTCGATAATTGTCAGTTGGGCATGAGAGGACACATGATTGGTAGTCTCGCCAGTCCAGTGAACTGTGGGAAAATCGACCAGCAACTGTTTCAGCAGTTTATTCTGATGATAAACAGGGTATCCTCGAACGTAATCATATATACCTAGTCAAATCGTTATGGGAATTCCTTGATTTTATGGTGATTCATTTTCAGTTTATATCATTATTATTAGTCGCAGGGTATAACATGAAGTTATAGTCATGTTGTAGCCATCTAGTGGCAAAGCTCTAAGGTAGGATCCAGAAATCGCGACACACACTGTGTGGCGCTACCATCTATAGTCACACGTACAGACCCTTACGTCTATACGCTACAGAGTGTTACTACAAGTAAACCACTCTGCTGACAGATGGCACTACCTGACATACTTGAGTGGATATCTCCACCACCTATTCAACTGCTAGATCTCATAACTAAGAGATCTAGGATGAACAGAGTTGCCCCAATTGTTTCATTTTATTGTCTTCTCCAATTTACTGTTTGTTTTTCAATAAATAAGCCTAGACTTGCTCCTTCATTGATTTTTTAAATTTTCCTTAAAAATCACTTGCAATCAGGTATGTCCCCCTCCTGAAATATATTTCAGTTTCAGGTGAATCGCATAGCAGAAGTGACACAGTTGTATTCGATAACTGTCTGAGTGTTGTCCAATAGATATCAACAGAAATCATTAGTGTATCAATAGTCATCCTAACAATATATATTTTTATCTTCTGGGGCGCACGAAAGAAAAACCTTATAATGTTCGGAAAACATCGTGTGCACCTAGGATAGAGAGAGAGAGAGAGACATAGGTATTGAAATATTCTTTGAACTTTCGGAGAATATAAGTTCTTGGGAATAATTTCTTTGGCAAAGAATCCATAAACTCACCGTTATATTTGTTGCGTGCAAGATCTGTCAGATCCTGGAGGTAAAAGATTGAAACACAACCTCACTTTTCTATGAAATATTGTTACACAACCTCACTTTACTTATTCGTTTGCAAGCGAGTTTGCAAGGGAATCAAAGGATTGTAATAGTTTTTCACAATATTTCGGCACAAGAAACACAACTTCACTTTTTTTATTTGTTTGCAAAGAATTTAAATAGTTTTTCACAATTATTTTGGCATACCAATCGTGTTTTTCGGCTATCCATGAAACCGATTGTTCACGTAGGTACATACATTGTGATCTCAAAGTAGGTACCTTAGTCTAGTTTTCACTTTGAAATTTCGTCATTTCTCATTGGAATTCCTTCTGCAATAGGAGCTAATAGAAGTTTATAAAAGAAGGCAAGAAGATCGTCAATCAAACGCGATGATATGATCGTGTCTGTTGTATACATTTTCACTCTATCAGCAGTATCAGCTCCTATTGCAGAAGTGGCAGAAGGAATTGTAATGACTAAAGACAAAATTTCATAATGAAAACTATGTGAGATCACTATTTACTTGAAAAATCATATTCCTTCGTCTCTCGCTGCATTTTTCGTGCATTGTACTACAGTACATTGGAATGCTTGAATTAATGAATAGCCCAAAAAACACGATTCTTGTGCCAAAGTATTGTGAAAAACTATTACATTCCTTTGATTCCCTTTCAAACAAATAAGTAAAGTGAGGTTGTGTTACAATGTTTCATAGAAAAGTGAGGTTGTGTTTCAATATTTCACCTCCAGGGTCGGTTATCGTACACGTGACCTATAGGCAAACGAGTTTTGGTTGAAAGTTGTTCGACACATCTCAGGGTTGACGACGAAAGGATGTGCTGACTGGGCTTGTTGATTCCGTCTGACTGCTGTATTGCTATAGTAATGGAATGATAGCAGAAATTTCTGAAGAGCAAATCCCCGTGGAAGTATGTGTATAGAAATGTGGAAGGTTAACGACCCCAGGCGAATGGCTCTCCTCTGGAAGGAATCTAAGAGCATCAGCGTATTTTTGGGTGCTGATCCTTATATGAGGAAACAGTATTCTAGATCAGAACGTTTCTACGTTTTATAGATCATAACGAGCTTTTGAGGTGTAAAGAAAATTCTCGCACAGAATAATTTCAAAGTTTCTGTGATTCTGTGAAGCAGCTTTCGCGTTGAGTCTGACATTATTTTTCCATGAAAGAGATTTGCTGATGGAAATACTGAGCATAGGTATAGTAGTTATGTTCTTATGAGCCGCAACCTTTTTCAAAATATTCAGAATGTTGGTTGAGTTTATGATTTTGATGTTAGGCCGAGTTGGTCTGCCGCGAATTTAAATAATAATTCTAGCACTGACCTTCTCGAGCTTTGGCCTCAATTTTGGATTTTTACGCGACTTTTGGCGTAATTGGACTGGCTCTCTCTGAGGGACCGACCACCGACCTATAATGATGATATCGCCAATATTCCCAGGGAAACAGGTACCTATACAGGATGTTCCAAACGCAAAAACCCATTTAATTTAATTTTGTAACACGTTATAATGACCATCCCGTTTGCGATTTTACTAAATATACTGTACGCTAGCACATACCACGCCCACCGTTATATCTCATCTTCAGAGTACTTTACTTAGGCAAAACTCAGAGACTATTTATCCTCAACGAACTAACCTATCCCTGATTGCAATATTTTTGAGGAAGGAAAACCGAATGGAGTGTAGAAACCGGTAGAAACACATTGATCAATAATATATTTCAAAAGTTGAGTTCTTCAACAAAATTGAATAAAATGAGACTGTTTATCCTAAATGCACTAACCTATTCGACTTCAAATATTTTATGAAAACCAGAATGAAGTAACCAGTATGAAGTAACCAGAATGAAGTAAAAAAACATTGGTGAAAAAAAAAAGTTGCAAAAAAAAGTTCAAGTTCACAGCGATTCGAACCATGGACCTTCAAACTGAAAGAGCGCTAACCAGTAGACCATTTGGGTGTATGAATTTACTGCGTACAAGAGATTGACAACGAGAGAGCTTCAGTCGAATTCGTGTCAAAATCATAAAAAGTGTATTCTTGCGTTGGAGCACAGTATATTTAGTGCGATGTGCTGACTCCGAGTATATCGGTAATGTTTGGAGATATGACGTATTATGGTGGGCGTGGTTTGTGCTAGCGTGCAGTATATTTAGTAAAATCGCATCCCGTTTTCCCATTACTGCCGACGTCTATGTGATGCACCTGACGCAAGGACACATTGTCAGTATATTGACACTTTTTTGGTACTTTTTACGTTTGTCTTACTGAAATGTTCAATAAGTTTGTAATCTGTTGTGAAAAAAAGTTGTTGAATATGTCCCACCTACGACAGTGAACCTTCTAGACCCAGAACCCCTCAAAATCCATCACAATTTATAGAAAAATTTCAAATAAGTACGTACACACTGACCTCCAAACAATAGGGCCAGGAAGAAAATTCTTGACATAACTTTTTCAGGGCCTTCAGGGGCGATTTTTTTGGGGGTAGTATATTTCAAATATGTATTCATAATATTGGTATTTCCTACTATTAGCTATAAACAAATATACCTATACAGGATGTTCCAAACGCAAAAACCCATTTAATTTGATTTTGTAACACGTTATAATGACCATCCCGTTTTCCCATTACTGCCGACGTCTATGTGATGCACCTGACGCAAGGACACATTGTCAGTATTGACACTTTTTTGGTACTTTTTACGTTTGTCTTACTGAAATGTTCAATAAGTTTGTAATCTGTTGTGAAAAAAAGTTGTTGAATATGTCCCACCTACGACAGTGAACCTTCTAGACCCAGAACCCCTCAAAATCCATCACAATTTATAGAAAAATTTCAAATAAGTACGTACACACTGACCTCCAAACAATAGGGCCGGGAAGAAAATTCTTGACATAACTTTTTCAGGGCCTTCAGGGGCGATTTTTTTTGGGGGTAGTATATTTCAAATATGTATTCATAATATTGATATTTCCTACTATTAGCTATAAACAAATATAAAAAGGTAGGTATAAAATATATTTTTATTACAGGTATCACTACTATAAAAATTGTCAAAGTTCTTGAATAGGTATAAACATATACAGAGTGTTCTGAAATCACTGTGCGATATTATTTTCAATACACCCTGTATACATAAACAAGCAGGTACAGTGCTGCCCAAATAATTCGTAACGAATTCTGTGAAAATCCCTTTGAAAATTCGCACTCAGACTAACATCTATACCAGATGACTGCTGTTTCAATCACTGATTTCTTATTGTGTTACGAGATAGTCAGGTGTATCTCTGAATATTTCCATTTCTGCTTAGACAAAAAGAATGATTCGACGAAGAGTCGTTACGAATTATTTGGGCAGCATCGTACATATACATTGTAGTACATAATTTTCGACATAAAACATTTCGAAATGTATTCAGCACATGCGACAATTGCATTTTCAATCATTTTTGTTCTTTGGCCTCTTTGCACTCTTCATAATGAAACTAACTAGTAGTTTGGTGGTAAACATTGAAAGACAGACAAAAACTGTCGAAACTAAAAGCAAAAATCCGATGACATCCAAGAGGTAATATTGGTATGTTGGCAATTCCGAAACAGGGCTTTTCAAATGTTTGGCTCCTTTGTTACGAATGAAATATTCTGTCCACCATACAGCTCGATCTAATCCAGTCTTTTCCACATCTTTGGATATTTTTGACATCTCAATAATGTTCGTTTTGTATCTGAAAATCCATGAAAACCCCCACTTAATGTGGTATTCTACAATATGTATGCATATAAAGTATGTGCATACATATAAGCTAAGATAGGGCAAACAAGAAGTCACATAAGCACTAGTCTAGTGGAACATGTTGGATTGTACTCACACGGGGTTATGAATGACTTCTAAAATGGCCCCTTTGAAGGCTTCTTTCGTGAAATTTGATATATCTACGCTTTTTCCCAGCTTTTGTCTTTCCATAACTTTCGCGTTACTCGGTTGGTCCCACATAAATGGTATTCCAACCATTGGAACCTGGTGGAAGATCGCTTCTTCCAGAGATTGGGCTCCGCAGTGTGTTATGAAAAGTATCACTTTGGGATGCCCTGTACGAAGAAAATAAAATGAACACTCATACAGTATGAATCATGAAAGCAATAAATAAGGTTTCATTCACCCCCACGAAATATAAACCATTGACCCTTCAACTGCCCCCTTGTGTACAATCAACTAACATATATTTCAAGATCTATTTCCAAGAAACTGATTTTCTTGTATACCTAGCAAATCGAATTGTGGTGCCCATTTGACTATTTTCACGTTATCTGGTAGCTTTTCCATGGTGTCTACCTCGAATTTCCATAGTACGTTGTAAGGCAGTTCCTCTAAAGTAGAGATGATAACATTTTTGACATCATCACTGAGCAATGAACTCTTGATGTTCGATCCCAAGCTAAAGTAGATTACTTCTGTTTCGCTAGTGTCCAAAAATGTCTGCAAATCCTGCAATAATTCATCAGCTATCAATGTGCATGTTCATTTGTTTTGGCTGCATTTAATTCGTCAGAACATATTTCATCAAAATCTTTTTGTATTAGAATATATTCTATCAAAATGGTATTATGTAATCCATCATCGAGTAAAATGAAGGTATGTACTATATAGGAACGTGAAATATCATATCGTACTTCATTGGTACTCTATCAGAATCGTATTCTGACGGAACTGTAATTCAACAAAACCGTATTGTATTAAGAACACAATTTATCCGAACCGTATTTTGTCGCGACAGTAAACTGTCAGCATCGTATTTTGTCAGAACGGTGATCTATCATTCCCGCAAAGCATCATGATGATAAATAATCAGAACTATAATTTGTCAGAATTGTATTTTGTCAGAACAGTATTCTGCCGAGACAATGAAAAATCATACGTCGCATCATCAACCTGTGAGAATCGCATTCTAATGATGTTTTACTGAAGCGACGAGTTTCGGTTCTGATAGATTACTGACTCGATGAAAAACGTTCCTATACAATGAGGTATTGACGAAATACGATTCTAATGATTTACTGTTGCTATGAAATGAAGTTCTGTTGGAATACTATTTTAATGTATATCCTCTCGACAGAATGAGATTATGATGAATTACCATCATGACGGAATACGGTTCTGATTAACTACTGTTTTGTTCGAATACGGTTATTCTTCAATACCATTCTAATGCCTTACATTTTGACGACATATGTTTTGTTACATCCCTACAATTTGCGGTTCTATGTTTTACATTGCGATGAAAAATCTGATGCCTTCAGAATGAAGTTCCTGTCAATTACGTTTCCTACGAATTACCATTCTGATGAAATATATTCCTATAGATAATATTTTGAATCTTCATCAGTTTCCAGATTTTTTTTACCTTCGGCATTGGCTTGTTGGTGTCTTTGATGTGTATGCTTGCTCCCATGTAGATGGTATTCGACCCAGCAGGTCTGACGTCATGGAACATCGGGTTCACATTGACCAATAGGAGACTCATCTCTTTCTCTAGTTCTCTTAGATCTTTGGCTTGCTGACCAAAGTGATTTTTGACTATTTCAGTTTGACGTCTGTATACCCAGTGGTACTGTAAGAACCTGCGAAAAATTCAAACCTCATCGGGAAAATAAAATAACTGGAATGAAATATTGATGAAGAACTACGAAATAGCCACACTGACCAAAGTGGAATGGAATTTTGAATAAATACAAAAAGCTCAAAGTCATTTCCACACAATGTTCATAAAATGAACAACAATAGTGGATTGCGGGAGAAAAACAACTAATTTCCTGGATAATGACACGCAGAACATTGAATTACATCCTCCCGAAATCTTTGCATCGACTCGTATAATCGAATACTGATACAAGTGATTCTTTCCCGAATGCCTATTGATTTCGATTTAGCCAGGCCACGCTATACACCTACAGACCGATTTCGAGCTCTTTGACTCTCATCAGTGCAGGGCAGTCTCCAGTAGTAGCGTCTGGGGAGTATACTCGCCATGAATTTTAGAATGGTGGGGGGAGTGCAGCGTTGCTAGTTTTCACGTCTTGTTTCGAATCCGAAGAGACAAGAGGTAACAAATATAATCAGCGTGGCAAGTGCTGCGGGTATAGCGACTAAATTATTTCTTCATACTACCATAGTAAATACGACTCGTGTCGTAGTTGACTGTGCGTTTGGATCCCACGTTGGCGACCCAGGTTCGATGCCTGCGACTGTCGACTTTTTTCATTTTTTTCTTCTCAAGTGATTTTCCGAAAAATATAATTTTCAGGAAGAAGGTTCATTTTGGTCGATTAAGTTTAGATGGTTTGAAAAAAGGAGTGTCCTCTTTATGCAGGAGAGAAATTTTCCTTCCTCCCTGAAAATAGTTATTTGTTTTTAACTAGGCAGCAAAGTAGTAGATTGACTGCCGAGGCTGAATTCATAGCCGAGCGTAGCGTAGTCTTTATTTTTCCTGTAGTGTTCAATTAAAATGAAATTTGATAGAAATCGCAGTTGTCCATGATAATTATAGTTTGACAATTCATGAAAATTCTGACAGTTGTGCGAAAAATTATCAGTATATTTAAATTATTATATAATGGACAATGATAGCGACCTGGAAGTACTTACACCTCCAGAAATAAGGGAGGTGGCAAAAAATATAGAGTTGAATTTGTTGCCGGAGAAGTCTCGAATGAAATATGAAGGAAATTATAAACGATTTATGGATTATTAATTTTGCTGATACATATCAATCAGCGAAGTAGCCACTTTGCTGCCTAGGCAGGAAAAGTAATACTTTGCTGATTGATATGTGTCAGCAAAATTAATATTTGCTGCCAATCGGAGAAAAAACTATTGTCTTTTTAGGAAGAAGGTTTATTCAGGCCGAGTAAGATTATGCTTTAAAAAAAGTAGTCCTTTTTTGTGCAGGAAAGATATTTTCCTTCCTCCCCTAAAAAAATACTGTGGAGGCAATTATTACTGGTTAAGAAAAAGTTTTGACAAAAATATTTTCGAGAGAAAAGATTTTCTCTATGTGAATTTATGAAAATGCTATTTTCTTCTTTTTGGGTTATCCTATCAGTTCAATATCATTGAAGAACTTTCTCTCTCAACCCATTGATTTCGCCTAAGTCGAAACCAATAGGCATCCGGGAAAGAATCACTTGTATCAGTATTCGTTTATATGAGTCGATGCATAGATTTCGGGAGAACGTAATTCAATGTTTTAATTCAGGAAACTAGTTGTTTTTCTCCCGAAATCTACCATTGTTGTTCATTTTATGAACATTGTGTGGAAATGACTTTTAGCTTTTTGAATTTATTTATTAATGAGGAAGCCAAAATACCTGTAAAATTTTGTCTTATTTTTCAAAGTATTTTGAAGCAATTGAAGTTTTGCTTGTTGGAAATGAAACTCTGTATTTACCAGTTGAACCAGTTGAATAAAGTACTTGTAAGGCGTCCTTTGAAATCCAGTGGCGTGGACACGGGTAGGTAATGGTCTGGATAAGCAATGGGATGTAAGTAATTCCCCATTAGGGCGTGTATTCTATAAGGTGCATCCATCGGTGTAACGCCAATGAAGGGTATTTTGAATCTAAAAAATATTTATTTAATTAAGTAGTATAAAATATGATTTCTTCAGTATAAGAGTGAGTGAGCGTTACTTACCTTTCAGCAAATGCCATATGTACAGGATTCATTACTTCCACGATCAGCAAATCGAAGTATTCGCTCTCATTTTTGATGATCTTCTTGACATCCGGTTGAGCCAACTGCCAATCAGCCACCTCATTGAGTGCTTTTAGAAGCTCGAATTCCACCAAGAAGAGCGGTTTACCTGAAAGAATAATAATTATCAGGGATAACCTCACAAGTGCATAAAAATGATCGAAATGTATGACGAGTGTCTTCAAGATCAACATCAACTGTCTTACTTGGTTCTATTTCGTATTGATTTCAGGTATAAACATCTTTTTTTTCTCGTCTTAGACCAGGTGACAACGAATTTATTGGCCACGGTGTAATTCAGTTGTTTTTCATGTTAGACTTTTCCATGAAAAAACAATTCAAGTCCATTTTAGATTATAGTGGTGTGATAGGGTTCATATTCAATGAGAAAACCACAAAGTCATCTCCACTACTCTTTAATTTCAAAACATCCAATTGTACAATCCACATGAAATGCAGCGAGAGACGAAGGAATCCGGTTGGTACATTATGAGTTGAAATTAAGTAGGTACCTACTATAGTCACTCACATATAGTTTTCATTTTTGAAATTTGGTAATTTCTCTGATTTCTCATCGGAATTCCTTCTGCAATAGGAACTAATACAAATTTTGAATTGACTCGGCCGTTACTTGATGGAAACCCATGGCAAATGTAAAAACTTCACAAACGATAAGATTTCCACAAAATTCTCAAACAAAACGACATGTTTCGCTAACACAGTAGCTTCGTCAGGTGATATACTATATTAATAATAATAATATAATAATACTGGTACAATGAACGCAGTTCAGTATATCACCTGACGAAGCTACTGTGTTAGCGAAACATGTCGTTATGGAAATCTCATCGTTTGTGAAGTTTTTACTTTCAACTAATACAAATACTCGTGAAATGTCTAACATAATGCAAGAAGATTGGATTCATGCAATCAAACGGCAGGACTGGTCTGCCATGATGACGAAATATCTTGTGTGTTGTAGACATTTTCAATCCTTTAGCAGTATCAGCTTCTATTGCAGAAGTGACAGAAGGAATTTTGATAAGAAATGGCAAAATTTCATGATGAAAACTATGTGAGATTACTATTCACCTGAAAAATCACATTCCTTCGTCTCTCGCTGCATTTTTTGTGTATTGTTACAACAGCAGAATGAGAAGGCATGCTTGAATTAATGAATAGCGCAAAAAACACGATTCGTATGCCAAAACATTGTGAAAAACTATTTCAATCCTTTGATTCCTCTGTGAACAAATGAAAAAAGTGAGGTTGTGTTTCAATGTTCTACAGAAAAGTGAGGTTGTGTTTCAATATTTTACCTCCAGGGTCGGTCATCGTGAACGCGACCTATTGGTTCGCGAATTCAATGGCATTTAGCACAAAAAGGGTCAAAATTTACGGTACCGGAAAGACTCATAACCTCAATGATGCTACACGTGACCAATTATTTTGTGACCAATGAGATGATAGGTTTGTTCGCGTTCACAAAATTAACAGTACGAAACAATCAGTGTTCGCATTTTCTCAGGACTGTTTCGTTCCACAGATCACGTGTTTTCGTTTTATACGGACTTGTTTGGGATAGTTTCGAATCGGTCCAAAGCAATACGACGAGCCTCTGGGCATGAACCATGAACTGCCCATGACTTTATTCCAGACTTGTGTAGTATTCGAATACCCAGTATTCTGAATCCTATTCTGAATACATTTGGCTGGTATTCGAATACTATTCGAATACATTTGTGTATTTGGTATTCGGTATTCGACTGAATACTTTTTTGGTCAGTACTCGGTATTCTGGATCCTGAATACCGTTTTTGAATCCCAGTATTCGAATACCCACTTTGTATTCGAATCCCGGTATTCGAATCCTGTATTCGAATCCCGATATCCAAATCCTGTATTCAAATCCAGGTATTCGAATCCTGTTTTCGGATACTTTTGGATTATTTCTATGAATATTGCGTAACGCTTAAACGGAGAAGTCGCGATATATTATTGGTTGATCATATATTGCGACGGCTCCGGCTGAATTCACGATGATAAATTGAATATCGTTTTATTTTGAATAATTCTTCAAATAATACTAAGACATAGAAATTATTAAATGTTTCTTATTTAACCTCATCGTGATAGATTTTCTATTTTTTTATATATTTTTATGAATTAACTACATACATAATGCGCAAATGTTTTTTTTTTCAGTTGGAATATTCATGAAATATTCATATGTGAATGAATCCAGGTATTCGAATACAGCGGTATTCGAATCCTTTTTTTTTCTCTGTATTCGAATCTTGAGTATTCGAATACAATTCTGAGTACAGTATTCAGGATTCGTATTCGAATACCGGATTTCAGTATTCGACCCAAGTCTGCTTTATTCGTGGATGATTTAGGATGCGCATGCGTTTATGCAACTGATTTTTAACCTCTAAGTGTTCTTAAGTTGAGAGATACACTTTTTAACAAGATGAAGAATGGAATTATTGAAAAAATTCAATAAAGATTATGAACAATGGGCATATGACCTTCAGCTCATAGTCCTATCGTCAAGTTCAAATGATAACAAACGTTTTTAAACATGTAATTTACTGGAAATCCTCACGACCAATCTGGAGAATAGTGGTTTTGAATGAATCCAGATTGAGAATTTTATGATTATGTTATGATACCATCAACATAATTGTAATCCAAATATGCCCTCGATTCACGTGAGTCAAGACACAGCAAATGTCGAGGCAAATGTTCGAGGAAGAAGTTGAGAAAACGGGAGAACGCCGTATTCGTTTATATGATTTCAAAACTATCCCAAACTTGTTTCGGATTGAATTTAACGCGCACTTGATTCTGCGCATTCCAAGGACCGTTCCAAAAATTCGGAACACGAACAAACCTTATGTGTATACCTTGACTGCGACCTCCGCTCATAATGACCGAGTTGCCGAAATCCTCCATGACGGCGTGCGATCCGCTCAGATCGATCTCCTCGATGTTTTTCTGAGTCGGATCTCGCATCGGATCGGTCGTGAGGAGGGTCAGGTGGTGCCCTCTGTCGGCGAGAGTGCGCCATAACGGCCTGAAGACCATCTGAGACAAACAAGTCATTATACATACATTTCGTTTATGTAGTTACTGTAAGGTGACATATGTTGGGGAAACACGACGACGTACAGGTACAAGATTTAAGGAACATATTGCTCACATCAGCTTTCAATGGGTTAGATAAATCAACATATTTTCCAGACAAGTCGCCCAATAACTTTCGATAATTTTAGACACATTTTGAGGTACTCATGTTGGGGAAACACGGCGAAGTATGGGTACAAGATTTAAGAAACATATTGCTCACATCAGATTTCAATGGGTTAGATAAATCAACATATTTTCCAGACTAGTCGCCCTATAACTTTCGATAATTTTAGACACATTTTGAGGTACTCATGTTGGGGAAACACGGCGAAGTATGGGTACAAGATTTAAGAAACATATTGCTCACATCAGATTTCAATGGGTTAGATATATCAACATATTTTCCAGACAAGTCGCTCCATGACTTGCGATAACTTTAGATACATTTTGAGGTACTATCTTCTTGTGTTTATCGAATCAAAAACGTTTTCTGAACCGTGAAATAATTGGGTGTGAAAATTACTTTACAAATTTCGATAATTACTCTTTGTAGAATATCCTCAAAGAATCTACAGGATGGTCCAGGTTAAATGTCATTACATAGAAAAACGGGAAAGAACTAGACTTTCGTAAATGAACATGTGTACTTCATAGAGATTCTTGAAAGCCATACTATAGTCACAGCCTGTACTGAATAAGTATCTTAAAAACGAAGCCATGAATAAAAAATTTGCAGATGTATTTCAATTCTTCAAATTGAACAAGGAATCAAAAAATCGAATCTTGTTGTAAAATATCCTACATCATATATTGTATCATGATGTTTGATGTCCTTTCTCGAAATGGTTTATATTTTTTATCGATTGATCAAACTGCTCAGTTGATATGATTTTTTTGTAAAATGTCACAAAAATATTGATTTTCATTTCTGAAACTCTTCACAAGAACATTTTCACGGTTATGTGACCCAAAGAACAGATACAGGGTGATCAGAATTCTGATTCTTCACCCACCCCGTATTCGTTCCAATTAAATATCAGTAGATAGTAAATCAAAAGTTGAGATAGGGACATGTGAGCCATTTCGACCAATAATGAATAGTTTCAACACAAAAAAATCCTAAAGTTGCAAAAATTTCGATTTTGAACACCCTATATCCCTGTAATCATTTCCGCTAGACCCCAAATGTGATAGATCGATGAAATCAGCTTCCTAGGGAGAATCTGAAAATTCATTGAAATACAGGGTGTTCTGTTTGAAATAAGAAAGTTAATAATATTTCTGGAATAACTGAAGAAGTGGCAATATTGGCGATAACATTTTCAGATGTTTCGAAATTATCCTGTACATAAATTCAAAAAAAATCAGCTACCAGATTTACCCCAAATTGAACTAACGTTTTTTTTTATAGCTTGGAGCGCACGAAAGGGAATCCCTATAATGTTCAAAGAACATCGTGCGTTCCTAGGGAGGATAGGGATAGGAGGTAGGTATTGGAATTTTTTTGGACTTCTGGAAATTATATGTTGTTGGGAATACTACCTCAGGCAATGAATTCCAGAGCCTATATCCGTTCGATGGATGAAGGAGTTTTGATAAAGTGTTGTTCGACATCTTTGAGGTTGACAACGAAAGGATGCCCTGACTGGGCTTGTCTAGTTCGTCTGACTGGTATTGCTAGTGAAGGGATGATAGCAGAGATTTCCGAAGAACATTTCCCGTGGAAGTATCGATAGAAAAGTGAAAGGTCGCCGACCTTTCTACGGTGTTCCAATGATGTCAAAGAATGAGTGTGGCGTCACCCACCAGGCGAATGGCTCTTCTCTGGATGAAATCTAGGAGCATCAGCGTATGTTTTGGTGCTGAACCCCATATGTGGGAACAGTATTCTAGAACAGGCCGTATCTGCGCTTTGTAGATCATGAGGAGCTTTTGAGGTTTAAAGTAGCTTTTCGCACGGAACAAGAATCCGAGTTTTATAAACTAACATTGAATTTGAAAAAAAAACAAAATATCCATAGATTTTTTTTGGCTGTTTATACACATAGGTATTATATAAATCACATTCCTGCGTATGGGCATACTTGCTTATCTTATGTGTTTGTTCAGATAATTGTTAGATGTGTCATATTACAAAATTCACTTTCTTTGATGAATAATTCAAATAAATACGTACTTTGTATACCTTCTACAGAGATATAATCTCTGCCTTCTATAATGAACATACCTGATGGCTAAACGATGGTGAAAATACACAGGCCAATATTCTGGCACCCTCAATTATATCCAAAACTAACATAATAGTAATAGCACGAAATAAAAGCTTCATTTTGCAACGTTCAGCAAACTCGACCGAATCCGCACAATGATTTTTGATCTATGAAGTGACAAACAGGGTTGGGCACATAATAAATAATTATTGATAAGTTGTGCAGGTCAGAGATAAAGTACTAAGGTATCCAATGTGGAAACCCATGATGGGAACCAAAAATTTTCAACAGCGCAATGGCTTAAATACGAAAAATATTTGCGCAAGCTCTTCACAAATAATTGTTTCAAATCCTTCCTCAAATATATGGTTTTCATTATTCATAGTTTATGGCACACATGTTCATTATACTGGGTGTTTCCGAGATTGGGGTGATCAATGAAATGGACGATAGGTGACGAAAAAACAAAACGAAATGAAAGAATACACTTTTGTCGGAAAAAAATATTTTGGAAGATATTGAGCTTGAAACTCTTGTGAAGCATTTGTCAGAGATTAAAAGCCCAACCAAAGCGTTTGCTTTCGGCGATTATCGGTAATACCCAAAGGTTATGTAAATATGCATTTTTGTCTATTTTTCAATTATTTATTTTGTTAATATACAGGGTGGGTCACGGTCGATGGCACCTTAGACGTTTACGGAGAACGGGACATAAGATCATTCTGAGAATTTGGTTACTCAAGTAATTGCTTTTGATCTATCGATCTAAAATATTTTCAGCTCTGCGGCGTTGCCGCTTCTATCGAAAAGTAGCAACAACTTTGTTATTTTAAATGGAACACCCTGTATTTTATCGCATTTTCAGATTCTCTCTGAAGAGCTGATTTCATCGATGTATCATACTTGGGGTCTAGCGGAAATGATTACAGAGATATAGGGTGTGAAAAATCGACATTTTTCAACTTTAGGAATTTTTTTCGTCGAAACTATTCATTATTGATCAAAACGGCCCACATGTCCCTATCCCAACTTTTGATCAACTATCTACTGACATTTAATTGAAACAAATACAGGGTGGTGCAGAATTCAGATTCTTGATCACCCGGTATATGTCCCAATTAAATATCAGTAGATAGTTAATCAAAAGTTGAGATAGGGACATGTAAGCCGTTTTGACCAATAATGAATAGTTTCGACAAAAAAAATTCCTTAAGTTAAAAAATGTCGATTTTTCACACCCTATATCTCTGTAATCATTTCCGCTAGACCCCAAGTGTGATACATCGATGAAATCAGCTCTTCAGAGAAAATCTGAAGATGCAATAAAATACAGGGTGTTCCATTTAAAATAACAAAGTTGTTGCTACTTTTTGATAGAAGCGGCAACGCCGCAGAGCTGAAAATATTTTAGATCGATAGATCAAGAGCAATTACTTGAGTAACCAAATTTTCAGAATGATCTTATGTCCCGTTCTGGCGTTCTCCGTAAACGTCTAAGGTGCCATCTACCGTGACCCACCCTGTATATAGTAGGTACTTTTTTGCTCGCTTTTTTGTACATGCATCATTTTATCGTGGAAGATTGAAAATCATTGCAACGAAATGCTGTGGGCAGCTTGTCATGTTTATTCAACGCTTTTACACAATAATCTGATGCTAATATACAATAGGTGATGAGATACCTACTTGACACAGAAAAATAGTCTGTAGGAAGAACAATCAGGATTCGCTAGAAATAACACAAGGTGTATACAAAAGATGTACAGAAGCACAATAGCTATAGGTATTTTATCTCTTGGAGCACACGAAAGGGAATCCCTATAATGTTCGAAGAACATCGTACAGGGTGCGCCTCTTAAAATGGAATCCTTCCGATTCTATTAAAAATTAATATCTGAACCGATTCTTTTCGAAATTTGTATCTGGGGTTTTCGGGATTGGAGATGATCATTCTTTCGTCAAAATTTGAAAATTCAAGATGGCGGATCCGATATGGCAGACGAGCTTTCTAAGCATGATGCGATTCTATAAAAAATTAATACCTGGGGGTTTTCGGGGTAGGAGATTGTGATTCTTTCGTCATAATTGCGTACTTTCAAGAAATATAAAAAACACGCTTTCGTACTTATTAACCGAACTTCAAATTAGAAAATGAATAGTAGTTTGAAAAACTAGAGAAAAACCATTTTATAGGTAGCCAAACTGAAAAGAGGTTGAAAGTAAAATAATAAAAGTTTGTTGATAAATACACATAGAATGTGGTACTGATTACGGTGGTCCTAATATTTTCAAACTATACTACTTTATTTTTGAACTATGAAAATATTCCAACTTACACGTTTGCTTTCATTCAAAAATTTTAAGGATGTGTATAAGTACTTCACTTGTGAAATGTCTCTACCAAGAAAATATCAGTAATAATAATTCGAGCGTTTCTTTCATACTAATAATAATATAATAATGATATGTTTATTCCATTTCGATCATCGTTACATGATATTGGAAAAGTCATAACACACAATCATAATCGATACATAGATACAAAAAATAAATCAAAATCACCTCAGGTAAAAGCTGACAAAACAAATTATTATGAGTTGAATATTAAAATTGTGGCAGATACAGGAAATCATGACAAAAAATTATCGACAAGATATATTCCAGTATAGCAATTTCATTCATCTAGAAATTCGTCAACTTTATAGTAGCATTGACTAGGTATTTTCTCAATTTATTTTTGAAGATGTTGTAATTAGTTTCATTCAGAATTTCTTGTGGTATTTTATTAAACGTATAACTGAATTCCTCCACGAAGAGGAGCTTTTTCGAAAAATCTTGTGTTATGGTATGATTTTTTTCCAAACAATGGTCAATACATCAATTGTTGATTGGCCACCCTGTATAATAAATGAGCTAATATACGTGAAAATATCTTATCGGTAGATATAATTATACTTATACGAATGACAAATCAAAGACAATAATTGTTATGGAATTCGTAAAAATATAAACAATTATTATTCTCTGCATTCGTTATTTATGAATGCGCTACCTACAGGAAATGAATAAACATTGATGATGGTTTCATCAATAATTGTTTAATTATGATACTCCCACTTGTTTCATCGATATTGGTACCACTTTCATGCCCACTCTATTGTCGTATTATTGTTTGGAAATTTCAGTTCATCATGGAAAATTACAGGAAAGTATCGATTATCAAAAAATTTTTGGACTCTCTTATAGGTGAATATCATGAGTAAATATTATTTTTGTAATCCCTTACTTTCATTTCGATTTAACGGTATTCAGATGACAATTGAAATGTCAATGTTGACAGCCTTCAGTGGCGTAATTAAGGGGGGGGTCTATGAGGTTTGGACGAATATCGGAGGTTAGAACCTATGAATGTACCTTTTTAAGTTGTATATTTCAATGTCATTCTCCATCAGTAACTGAATTTTTAATTTTCGGTTTTTTTGTTCCTATTTCAATATTTGTACCTGTCGATATGTGATATAATTTGTTTTAATTGTCAATAATTTTTTCTATATTTTGTTATTTTTACCAAATGATGCACACATTCATTAAAGTCACGTATTGCTTTTCTTTTTCCTAAATATTGGATATTTTTTCCTGTGAAGGGAAAAAGATCAGTCACTTCATAAATAACTTCTTTCCCACGGGAAAAAAGTGAGCACTCTTTTCCCGGATATACAGGGTGGTTCAGATTCAAAGGCACAAACTGAAATGCGTGATAGCTCAAATCATTTTTATATAGAACAATTATATAAACATGAGTCCGATCTCGATCAGAAGCGGAGCTACAGGGGGTCGAAGTTTAATTATTTTTTTCTATTAATTAACATAAATCTCGCTCACTTTCGAAGATATCAAGTAGAAATTTAGTGTGGTTGATATTTCCTAGAAGGTCATTATTTCAGGCATCTTATATTTTTTTTTAATCGACAGGGTGGGAGTAGAGCGAGGGGTAGAGGCTTCCTTATCACCCACAAACTTTTTTGTTGTACGCCTTGACATCTTGCAGTTAAGAAATTTAATATATCGTTCAATTTCGAGGCTTTTTTTATCTTTCAATTTGTTTCGAGAAACCAACCGTTTTCAGAATAAATAAACATATCCGTTCTAAAAACATTTTAATATTGTTTCGCTTAAATTTTATTATTGGATGAGATTCGCAGAAAATGCAATAAAATGTACTAAAATTCCAAACTGGATCAGTAGCGGAGATACAGAGGATTGAACGTAAAGGTTTTAGTAGTTTTAAAAGTTTTTTTTTATTTATTTATTGAACAAATAACTTCCAGACAGAATAGGCTCTGGTGCAGTGCAGACTCGATAATCCGAACGTTCAATAATCCGAATTCTTCAGTAGTCCGAACAAGCATTTTTAATACATTGAGATTGAGTACTCTATAATCCGAATTTCATAGTACTGGATAATCCGAACCTATACCTTTAGGCCTATTTATTTCCTATAGAAATCGTGAGTGAAATGTTCAGGGATTCCCCTAATAATTGTTCTTTTGTTATTATCTGGGATTCACATTAGGCAAGGAAGAAGATAATATTCTGTTAAATGATATTCTTGTACTTCAAAGATCAAAAGAAATGGCCTTTATAAATAATCAAAGATGTGTTAAGCACACAAAAATTACAAATTACTTTAGAAACTAGTATTATATTCTTACTTTTATGCATATTTTAGTGTTACTTTTTCGTATTTATGTTTTTTTTGCATTTCGTAATAAAAAATTAAAAAAAAAACTGCTTCGGTAATCCGAATTTTTTGGTAATCCGAATCGCCTTGGTTTTTATTAGTTCGGATTATCGAGTCTGCACTGTATAAGGAAGTGCATAATTATATACCTATAGGTATACATAGCATCATTCAAAATATGTCAACAATTGTAAATTGGCAAACAAAGAATAATATTTGTAAAAAGAAAAATAAAAAATGAAAAATAAAAAATTATCAAAAAGATTAATTTTATCCAGTTCGCTCAGAAATAATCAGTTTTTTTACTTCATTTTTGAATGTACCTATATTTCTGCAATTTTTTATATTATCAGGTAGTTTATTGAATTCATAGTTAAGGCTGAATGAGTGAATCTTCTTTGTCCGATTATGGAGCTAGCGGCGTCAAGATGAAACAAGTTATATAAAATTTAAGCGGAATGTAGACTAATTTAACATGTTTTAGAGCGGGTATGCTCATTTATTTCGAAAACGGTTCGTTTCTCGAAAAAGATTGAAGAGCAATAACAGTTTCTAAATTGAACAATTCACATAATGATATCAGAGGTGCATGTTCGACTAAAAATGTTGAGTGGGATAAAGAAGCCTGTATCCCGAAAAATGTATGACCCTGTAGATTTTGAAAATCATCCAAATGCTTAAAATGATGATCATCTAGAAAGTAATAACCTCACTGAATTTCAAATTGATATCCTCAATAGTGAGCAAGATATTTCAATCAATAGAAAAAAAAAAGAATTAATCTTTTCACCTCTTGTAGCTCCGCTACTGATCGAGATCGGACTCATGTTTTTAAAGACTTTTTTGATTAAAATGATGAGATCTACACATCTCAGTTTGTGCCTCAAAACGTGAATCACCCTGTATATCACATGTATATTTATATAATTATATTCATTTAAAAACATCCCAAGTATTACACGAAATATGAGCACAGCTACTCAACAAGGAGTCAAACAGAAAACAGCTACAAATCCCAACATTTCAGAAAAATACTACCCAAAAACATGCATACTATATTGGCATATACAAGAATCTACCCGAAGCAATAAGGAGAATAAATATTTTCAAACATTTTCAAAACAAAATTAAACACCATATCCTAAACTCTTCAAACTATTGAATATCGTCAAACTATAAAAACTCATTCATCGCTCTGTCAAGAGAACAGATGTGAATATTCTGAAAATTATGTTAGTATAATTAGTTAGGAACATCTTCAAATCTCAATTCTTGATTGTAAAATTTTGTCAAATTATTTCAATAATACCACCCTTAATTCGTCTGTCAGGCACAAACCATTGGTTTAATTGACAGTGTTTCCAAATGAAAAATTGTATTATTATTTTGATAATGAATAAAGAATGAAATAGTTATATAAACTGTTGATGGCTTTGTTGTGCTATAGTACCGAAAAATAAGCCAATAACACCGTCTCCGAAAAAAAGAACTGCAATTTCTTTTATTTTTCGCATTCGACTTCGCGGTTACGTAAATCATCGTAAATTAATAAACAACCACTAAATTCGCGGTTTTTAAAACCAAATCACATAATTAGACGGACAGCTATTTGATTACTTCCAAAGAATTATGAAGATGCCTGCGTTGCAGGCATCATTCCCGTTAAAATCTTCAAATTTCAGGTCGATAATTTTCTTATTTTAATATAATGTAATATCTTCTCAAATTTGATTCGTCCTTTTTCATGTCACAGAAAAAAATAGTGTATTATACACGGGAAAAATATTAGATTTCAGCTCATGGTTTTTTGAAGCTGAAATCTACTACTTTGTTTCCTTGTATAATAAATAACTATTTTTCTATATGTGAAACATGTCTATACCTAGATAGCAACATTACTTTCAGAAATTATATAGTTACTTAATTATTATTTATCGTACAGGGGCTGGTGAAATTTTGATTCAATAGCAGATAGTGGATAATGCAAAATAATAATGACCTCATTAATGACTTTTCTATGTCTGTCTTGTCTATGAATAGGTAGGTACTAGGTAGAGGTATATCATTTCTGAAATTCATATCATATCAGTCTCTAGTTCTAGTGATAGTCAATAAGTAAGTAACATATACCTTCACTACTCTTTCAAAATATTTCAGTTCGTTTCAGAATATTGAGAAAGAACTCGGTAAACAGCATTTTTAACAGCCTGTATTTGACACGAGTTAATTTTTTAGTCTCCATGGCCTTCTAGAGAAACTATATCGCGCCTTACGGGTTCGAAGAAACTATAAAAGAGGTGTGTAAACAAAATAATTTCCATGCGCCGCCAGTAGGTGGCATTATATGGGATAGATAAAATTTTTTCAGTCATTTATTTATGCATGAAAATCACGTATTCATGCCACTTCATGCGTTGCGCTTTAACGACGTATGTAACATATTGAAATTGACGACCAACAGTTTTTTTCGTATACTGGGTGTCAGGCTCCCCAAGGTTTTCCAAACAAACGATCAGAGTCAGTTTCATACTGGGGCCATTCCCCTCTACTGATTTTTTAACCACCTGGTATACCGCAACTAAATTTGGAAGGCTCAAATAGTAGATAAAAACCTACCTTTATATATTCCAGGTTTTTTTGGGATTTCCTCTCCTCTTTTCTATAAAATAAAAATATGAATATTATTTCAATATGTGATGTGTAGTAAGGACAAATCATATGAATTAAAGAATTTTCCTATCAGAGAGCCTAAAAGAAAAATTCACTAGCATATGTCAGTTGCAATGAGCATTGAAAAGGGTTTAGAGAAAAGAAATAAAGGTATATATAGAAACATTATCAAATTTTCACTTAGCTTTGGACGTTTCGGGAACGAATCTGCTCTCGTTCTCAACATTAAATATGGATATTTGAATAGCAAATTCGTATTTGTCTGGACACTTTTCAGTTCCCAGTGACAATTGGTGACGTTGGCAATCAAATGAGTAACAGGATGTTTTCATTAATTAATCTTGAATTCACCATTTTCATTTTAAAATTTCAGTAGTGAATACCATGTTTTATCTATATCAACTAAACAGTAAGCAATGCTAGATAGAACATGATATTCACTACTGAAATCTGAAAATGGAAATGGTAAATTTAAGATTAATCAATAAAAACATCCATAATCAAATTCATGGCATGTCCTGCTGATGGGTCGTATTGCATCTGACCACCTGTTGGCTATTAAGTGTTGATTTCTTTTTTTTTGGGCGTGATTCCTGTCGAAGGCGTGGCTTCTACTTTCTCGGACATGTGAATGCGATGAACATTCTGATTTGGTGGATCCATATTTCATCTGACCACCTGTTTGCTATCACCTGTTGATTGCCTTATTTTTAGTGGTCCTGGTGCCTGCCTAAGGCGTGGCCTCTACTTTCTCGGGCGTGGCTTTGTCCTGGGCGTGGCATAATATTTTTTTGTTTCCGTACATATACGATGCGAATTTTCAGGATATTGTCTGACTAAAATTCAAGGCATTATGTAATATAGGCGTGGTATTTAGATGTCAGGGTATATTGGTCTGTTCTCTCAAAGGTTTCATTGGTCTTCCTACGAATGCGATGAACATTCTGATCTGGAGGATCGTTTTTCATCTGACCACATGTTTGCTATCACCTATTGATTTCCTTATTTTTTGTGGGCGTGGTTCCTGTCCAAGGCGTGGCCTCTGGTTTCTCGGGCGTGGCTTTGTCTAGGGCGTGGCATGATTTTTTTCTGTTTCTGTACCTGTACGATACGAATTTTTAGGATGTTTTCTTTGTATTGTAGGCTCCAAATGGCGGAAAGGACGAACATAGTACTCGAACTTAAGGCATAGGTTAATATTCATAGGCGTGGTCTTTAGATGTTAGGGCGTGTTATATGGGTGTGGTCTTTCAAAAGTTTCATTGGTCTTCCTGTGAACGCGATGGACATTCTGATCTGGAGGATCGTATTTCATCTGACCACCTGTTTGCTATCACCTGTTGATTTCCTTAATTTTCGTGGGCGGGGTGCCTGCCTAAGGCGTGGCCTCTACTTTCTCGGGCGTGGCTTTGTCCCGGGCGTGGCATGATCTTTATTGTTTCCATACATGTACGATGCGAATTTTCAGGATGTTCTCTCAAGGCTTCCATTGGTCTTCCTGTGAATGCGATGGACATTCTGATCTGGAACTTGGTATTTCATCTGACCACCTGTTTGCTATCACCTATTGATTTCCTCATTTTTTTGTGGGCGTGGTTCCTGTCGAAGGCGTGGCCTCTGCTTTATCGGACGTGGCTTTGTCTAGGGCGTGGCATGATTCTTCTTTGTTTCTGTAAATGTACGATACGAATTTTCAGGATGTTTTCTTTGTATTCCAGTCTCCAAATAGCGGGAAGGACGAACATATTTCTGAAATTGAAAGCATGGTGTGATATCTATAGGCATGGTATTTAGATGTTAGGGCGTGGTATATGGGTTTGTTCTCTCAAGGGTTTCATTGGTCTTCCCTTCCTGTGAATGAGATGGACATTCTGATCTGGAGGATCGTATTTCATCTGACCACCTGTTTGCAATCACCTGTTTCTTAATTTTTTGTGGGCGTGGTGCTCGTATAAGGCGTGGCCTCTACTTTCTCGGGTGTGGCGGCTTTGTCCCGGGCGTGGCATGATCTTTTTTGTTTCCGTACATGTATGTTGCGAATTTTCAGGATGTTCTCGTTGGTTTTCAGACTCAAAATGGCCGGAAGGACGAACATATCGAGGAACCGGAACAGTTGGGGTCCGGTGTCGGTGAGCAGTAGCGGTTTTTATAGATCATCTCGCGAGGACTGGGAGGACGAAGATGAAGACGAATTCAAGAGCATTCAGGCTAGGCAACTGGATCCTCTGAAAGAAGATCTGGCAGATTGGCTCAATAAAACACTTAGTAAGTTCATAAAAATCAAATTTTCAATAAGAGGAAGAGAGAAATTATTTTCATAACGTTAACTTTCGTTTCTAGTGGAGGAAGTTGAATAAGTGACATTTTGTTACCTGTCAACAGATATAAAGTGTCAAACTTTTTTCCCGTCACAGAAATATTTATTAGTTTTACTATGCAGCATATAATTCTTTCTCCAAATGTTATAAAACCAATTTTGTGTAATTTTTTTATTGAAAACTCCATCATTTCGTATGGTTACCCAATGTCCGTGTCAATTTTTATCACCAATTTCATTCAAAATTCTTGGAACGTTGCATAGCAACAAACTTTTCCTGCCTAGGCGAAAAAAGTTGAACTTTTTCTGCCTGTTGAGTGTCAGAGGGAAGCCACTTTCCGCGCCGCTTGAAGAAAAAACTATTATTGCGATATAAAAGGCGTTGTAGAAAAAGTATAAATAGTGTTTCACTCATCGGCTTCTCCTCTGCTGGTAAACTGTTCTTTCGCTTCAAATAGTAGATTTTTTTATTAGGATCAAAAGTGACACTTTGTTTGACAAGCGAATTTTGCATTTGCGAGGCGGAGCGTTTAGCGAAGCCGAGCGAAAGCAAAATTTTCGAGTCGAACAAAGTCACTTTTGATCCGAATAAAACATGCTATTTTTTCTGCAACCGAAACAACTCAAATAAACATGTGAAGTAACCACCAATGCCGTGCCATATGTATGCAATGCAACAAATATTGACAAATAATCCATGTGGTGAGAATATTCTACCTGCATTAACAGCAGGTTAGGTTTTCTAGAGTGTTCGAATTGCAGTTTCACTTTCAATATAAATACAACCACAGAGTGACATATTTGTGTATGGACCAGGTGCTCTAATGGCAAATACCTCGCCAGTGCCAGCTATAGGAACAAGACGTGGAAAATGTTAGCTTAGTGAGCATATCAACAATAATAATAGTGATTATTTATTCCTCTCAATACTACACTGTGTTTGACTTGATAATCAAATGAAGTTAAACAATATCGTTGTTTGAGACAAAAAATCTATTGCTTGCCGTGATTATTCAAAAACAAATTATCCATCCCTAGAATAACGAATGAAATACAGATCAAGCAAGTATTTGAATCTTGAAGGCTTTCCTGATCAAAACAAAAATACTCAACTGATATGTTCATAATTCCAATACTAAACTATAATAAGGTGTATTTATATCTCCAGCATGGGTATGAAATGCCAAATCTGCTGAAATCGGAAATAAATTAGGTATGCGTCTCAACCCAAATAACCAACCGTCACAATGTTGTTTATTCTTGATGACGACCAGTAGACCCTTTCTAGTTCCTAGGAGCTAAAGTTCAACTCTCGGTTCAACTTTAGCTCCTAGGAACTAAAATTCAACTTTAGCTCCTAGGAACTAAATATGTTGCCTAGCAACATACCTATATTTGTGTCAGTAATAGAAACGTCAATTTAAGAGCTGATTTTGGTATCAAAATGGACGACTTTTGTGTCGGTTGCAGAAAAAAATCTTTACTTCCGTCTCTCCTAAAACAATATTACTATTTTTTACTCTCCCAGGGCTATGATGGTTTCAGAATTCCCGAAGTTTTCCGGTTTTACAAACAATATCTCCAATGAATATTGATTGCACTTTAAATGATAGCCATAATATTGACGTAAGGATTTTGATGTCGAACACGTATTAGGAAGTTATGTTTTCCATCACGTAACTGCCATAACTTTTATAAAACTTGGGATTACCTGCTACTGTACCATCAGGTACTGGGCTAACTTTGCCAAATATAGCCTGACGTTTCCGTGAACGATTATATTATGATTGAAGGCTTGAAGGCCTATCAATTTTTCGATATTATTCCCAATGGCATGCAATTCCTCTATCCATCTCTTTCATAAAGTTTTATCGCTGTATTCTGGTCGTATTCCCAATGAATCAGATATACCCTCGATAACTCACAGAAAAATGATTTTACAAAAAAAATAACTATTCGATTTTTATATGGAGGGGGACACCGTTTGACGCAAAATAGAAACAGCGTTTTTCTGCAACCGACACAAAAGTCGTCCATTTTGATACCAAAATTAATAGGTATGTTGCTAGGCAACATATTTAGTTCCTAGGAGCTAAAGTTGAATTTCAGTTTCTAGGAGCTAAAGTTGAACCTTACCTCCTAGGAACTAAAAAGGATCTACTGGACGTCATCAAGAGTAAACAACATTGTGACGGTTGGTTATTTGGGTTGAGACGCATACCTGATTTGTTTCCGATTTCAGCAGATTTGGCATTTCATACCCATGCTGGAGATATAAATACACCTTATTATAGTTTAGTATTGGAATTATTAACATCTCAGTTAAGTATTTTTGTTTTGATCAGGGAAGCCTTCAAGATTCAAATACTTGCTTGATCTGTATTTCATTCGTTATTCTCGGGATGGATAACTTGTTTATGAAAAATCACGGCAAGCAATAGTTTTTTTTTTTGTCTCAAACAACGATATTGTTCAGCTTCATTCGATTATCAAGTCAAACACAGTGTTGTATGGAGAGGAATAAATAATCACTATTATTATTGTTGATATGCTCACTAACCTAACATTTTCCACGTCTTGTTCCTATAGCTGGCACTGGCGCGGTATTGCCATTAGAGCACCTGGTCCATACACAAATATGTCACTCTGTGGTTGTATTTATATTGAAACTACAATTCGAACATCCTTGAAGACCTAACCTGCTGTCAATGCAGGTAGAATATTCTCACCACATGGATTATTTGTCAATATTTGTTGCATTGCATACATATGGCACGGCATTGGTGGTTACTTCACATGTTTATTTGAGTTAATTGTTTCGGTTGCAGAAAAAATAGCATGTTTCATTCGGATCGAAAGTGACTTTGTTCGACTCGCAAATTTTGCTTTCGCTCGGCTTCGCTAAACGCTCCGCCTCGCAAATGCAAAATTCGCTTGTCAAATAAAGTGTCACTTTTGATCCTAATAAAACAATCTACTATTTCTGCCTATGGTCAAGAATTTGATGATTCAGATTAACCCAGATATTCGTCCAAGTTATTAAAATGAGTTTAGACAGAAAAGAGCATAGCTAATAAAAAAACAAATTTTTCTATTCTCAATAAAAAGTGGGTTGGGAAAGATGCCAAACAATTACGGTTTCTCCAAGAAAAAAAATAGGAAATTGAAATTCTACTGCACAAAATTTCAACAAATGAAACATTTTTGGTCATATGTATGTATTCAAAACTGTTTTCATATTTTTTCATAAGCCAATGTAATATCATCTCTTCCTGATAGAAAAGGAGGAACACACAGAAAAAAGGAAGGAACAAGAAAAAATTCAACCTTCTTTTTTTTGTTTATTCCTGGTGAAGTTATAGTTATAATTTTTTATGAACGTTTTTACAAGGGAATTAGCATGTTTTTGGGAAAATAGAATTGATGACGTTATTACGACAGGGTGAAAATACGAAAATATCCTGCTTCCCATTCATTGTCGTTCACATCACCCTGTATAATCTACCGCAGGAAGTAAAACGTCTCGTATACTATAAAACCCATACACGTCTGCATGAATCCTCGACTATCCATTAATTTTTCAAGTGATTCTCTTTTGTCGGTTTGGTCTTACCCCCGGCAGGCAATTGTTCATATACTCTTTTTTTCTTCAGATCGTATCGCTTCTCGTGTAATGTCATAGGTCATAGGTTATGACACGGTCCCTATTTGTTCGACTGTTTATTATTCAGTACTGACACTGTTTCACTTCCTCGATGTGAGCTCTTGACTGCTTTCTATCCGTAAATAAGGTACTTATTCTTGAGCAAAGTATCTCTTATTAGGTTTATTTTCTCTTCCGATGACAATGTCTTCTGTGTCCGTTTCGAGACAAGAAACGTCCATAATATGGCAGATTGTTCTAGTTTTTTTATTGTATCGTTGAGGAATTGGAGATGTCCCTAGACACTAATTCAGAATCGGCAGTGTTTGGGTGCATTGAGGTCAATATTAATGATTGATGCTGTTGATCATGAACACACAGTATACAGTGTGTTACAATTTGGTCCACTCCACCCCTGTTCATTCGTATTCCTAGGGCGATTTAAATTATTTTTTTCTCACAGTATACTACTCAAAATTATCTACTTTTACGAGCAAACAAAATTCATCAAATACAATTTCTTAGCCTATTCTAGCAAATTTGAAGAAAACGGATTAGGCATTTTTTTACAAAAATTTGTATACGTAGGCAATCGGTTCGGACTAGTCAAGTAGTCACAAATACTCAATCAATCAATCAATCAATCAATAACATTTATTGTATCTAAAGAGGAATCCTCATTACATGAAAATTTTGGTTCGAACAAATATATAAATTATTAATATAACATTGTTCAGGTTATACATACACTGAGAAAAAGAGAAAATAGAAATAGTTCAGTCATGATAGAGAAAACAAAAATAAAGAAACAACAAATAGTATGGCAGATGATATTTAGGATACAATCAAGAGATAATTTCAAAAGTTCTACAGTAAGACCTGATAAGGAGAAACACAAGATACGAAAGACCGTAATTTCAGAATATTCATTACAATCGTAGCTAATTGTTTCAATAAAACATATGAATGTGTGTTGAGAATATCTATCAAGTCGTCAATGACTTGTAGTTTAACAAATAAATCGTTATTTCTCAAACCAGAATACATATAGGACAGACTAGTAAGATATGTTCCAGAGTTTCTCTCTGTTGCAGATTACATATAGAACACAGATCTTCAGTATTGATTATATACGAGGAGCCATAGAAAGTAAATTTCAATCGTGCTTTGCTACAAGTACGAATCTGGGCAGTGATTCTGCTGATGTGAATTGGGCAGGGAATTTTTAAGTATTTTTGACAAGTGCTATACAGTGTTAGAGACTGGTAAATGTAGGAAAAACTCGACTGATTCAGACTTGCAATG